GGTGTTGGAGCCATGGTTTCACGCAATGGCTTTGACAGGGTCATGCGAAACCTTTTTGCTTTGAATGCCCCAAAAGAACCTTGCCAAGGAGTAGTTCAGGATGTGTTTCTTTTTGTACTTGTTGCGCTTGTGGTTGGTAAAGGCCCAGTGTACACTCGCTCCATGCTCTAGTGTGCATATATGTGTGCATGCATATGTGTGCATCCTAGGCATTGATCACAGCGGTCTTGCTGATCAGTTGGTTGGACCCTGCCATCTTCACTTTTGAAAACAAGTGGGATGTTGTCGACATGTTCGCAGGGGACGGGCGCATTGCACGAATGGCGCGTCGAAGTGGTCAGCGTTCTGTAGCACTTGACCTCCTCTACAGTCAAAACACACACTGCTTTGATATCAATGAGGATGCTGGGTTTGTGTTGCTCGCACTGGGTTGGGTCCTATGTTTTATGTGTGCAATGGTTGGGTGGGACCTGACTGCCCGTCCTGGATGTAGATCCTCACTAAACCTCCGGCCTCAGCCAAGGCTAGCGCTGAAATCACTCTTGGAGGGCGGCTATGGTCGGGTGATGGGAGCCTATGGGGTTTGCTGCTCAAGTTGGGTTACATGCTCCCGGGGATCCACCAAAAGGAGCATCCTCACGCCAATGGGGTGTGTAGAATATGACAGCGTCGCCAAAGCAAACAAAATGGTTTCACGGTGCCTCATTTACAAATGTGATGTACAAGTTCTTTTTTTGACACAGAACTTGAATGACACATAATGAAACACTGTGACCTTATATACTTCTGTTTATGGGTCCATGGGCTGAGGTTGGTGCTTTTACTGCTCATCAACATTGCTATGCTTGGTGTGTACTTCATAGAACAACCAAGCAGCTCTATCATCATGCTCCACGAACGCATGGTCTGGTTGCAGGATCTCCTTGAAAAGCTTTCCATAAAAGAGCCTGGGAAAAACACGAAGTTGTTTGTTTGTGTGGTTTGCGACACTGGTGTAAACTGTTGTGTGCCCAACCCCCTTTTTGCCATGTTGTACTTTAGTGTTTTGGCGCAGTTGAACTGATTCTTGCACTAAGATGTACCGGCAGTTCTTCTGGATGCGGGCTTTTCAGCACCCAACACCGAAGCGGACTGTGCTATATTCAAACACCAGCTACATTTCTCTTTTCAGCTTTGCTTCCAAGATGGCCAAGAACCAGCTAAGCACTACCGTCCAAACGACAGACAAATATGTCTCGAAGGAAGGAAAGGCCAGGTTCAAAGGAAATCGTGCCTTGAAAAAAACTCAGACTCTTGCCTGTGTTATCCACCATTGAGGCTCCTGAGATTCAGCTTGCCCCGCATGGTCCAAAGTATGGTTTGTGGGTGAATGCACCAGTCCTTTAGGCAGTGAATCTCAGGGGCTCCATTGTTTTGATCTGTTCTTTGCCCAACACCAATTTGTGGTGGCAGTTGGGGCCCCTCAGACCAACAAGTGAGGCATCGAAACCCAATCCCACCAAATGCTCAACCCTTTATAGCCCTTTATTGTGGTCCTCTCCAAAACGCACTCTTGGCGCCGCGACTGCCAGGCTTTATACTTGGCCTTATTGTCGGCACGTGCTCCAAGCCAATGACCTTGCCAAAGAGGAGGAACGAGACGCAATCCCAAATGAACCTTTGTTTGAGGTTTCAGCCTTCTGTTCTCAGCTTGTTGGGTGTTTTTTCTGTGTGGAAGATGAATGCTTTGAACAAGTATATATAGTTTCCAGTAAGATAAAACCGATAAAGGACCCCTGTGGTTTGGGCCTTGTGGAGCTTAGCCTATGGCTTAGCCTACTTGAGGTAGACATGGTTTCAAGCCTCATGGACATGTACGCACGGCTTCCGTGGGGCGATGGATGGGATGATGCATCTCTGAAAAATGTTATTAGATACTTGCGGGGCTCACGCCTCCTGTCTATTCCAGATGAGTGGAGGCCGCTTTTGCCTACTGAGTTGTGATGGGACAAGGATCGAGATGTACTGTATAATTACAACACAGCTCTGTGGAAAAAGGAAAAAGGAAAGGGTTCAAGTCAACCCCAGGGGTGCAAACTGGATTCTGTGGGAGGTCCAATTAGGCAATGAGTGGTGTTGAAAAAGTAATGGAGACCTTTTTTTCCCAAAGCGAACTTTTTTAATTCTTGACATATATGGATGGCGTCCAAAGGACGGAAATCCGCGTCCAAAGGATGGAATCCCGCGTCCAGTCCGGACCCGTCCGAACCAAAAGGCCTTTTTTCTTTAAAGCGAACTTTTTTGCCCGTCCGGCCGTCCGTCCGGCCGTCCGTCCGTCCGGCCGTCCGTCCCACAGCCGCCCGCCCCACCCACATCCATCTGACCATGAGCCCCGGGTATGACTCTATTCAGGCCCTTTCTGATTGGGAGCACTCTAACCTCATGGGGTTACGGTTACCCGTCGTGTGTTACTTTTACTCAAGAGGTTGGTTGGGTTCAAAGCCAATGTTGAACTCAGGGATGGATTAGGATAGGGAATTCCTTTTAGCTGGGTTCTGCTTTGGCCGCATTTAGGTTCAGGTTTGCCAGCGTACTGTCATCATGGCTAAAGGTGTATGATATATATATATATATTATATACAGGGTCCCCAAATCAAGTCAGGTAGGTTCGAAAGGAAACTATAGTAACCAACAAGACTTCATGGAACTCAAAGGCATTAGGCGGCCTGGCTGTGTGCAATGGCGAAGCGTTTGCGGTCCCTAGCTTCCATACTGTGGGATTCAGAATATGAACCAGATGGTCCTGAACAGCTTGTACCATGCCAGGAAATCAAGCAGCTTCAGGCTGAGAATGCAAAACTTAGAGAACAACTGGTCACGCTCCAAAGGGAAGTTTCCATTTTGAAGACGCCCACGCCATTGCAGACTGTGCGCCCCGGCTTGCGAACATCTTCCTCTGACTTGTCGAAAGCCTGGCCCAATCAAAGTTGGGTCAGAAATGTCCGAGAGGATGTCTCACGGCTTCCGCGACTCTCGGAGGAAATCTTGCCCGATCTAGAGCAAACGCAGGATGCCAAAGGGCGGATCCTCTTTGATTTGCCCAGGTTCTCAAAAGCTAGTGCAAGTACAGTGCTACGTCATGCAGAAGGGTGTGTCCGAAGTTTGTTCGCAAAACACCCAGCTGTTTTCAAGATCGGAATTTCCTCTAATCCTGTGAAAAGATGGAACCACCCTCGCTATGGCTATGCTCATGATACACGGGAAAACTGGCTGGGGATGAAAGTATTAGCGGCTTGTGAAACATCCTTTTGCGCAGGTATGTTGGAGAGTGCCCTGATCCAAACCTTCCAAGGGACACCAGGTTGCAGAAACGACCGACCCGGGGGTGAAACACCTTCACCCGACGAGGGGCCCCATTTCACATATGTTGTGTATAGAATTTTGCTGCCCCCACTAAAGGTCGTGTCACGAGCAACGGCTGCAATCTAAATCGTGCAATTTGCCTAATTGGTGGCCTATAGTGTGATAACACTGTTTTTGGCCAAGAGTGCAACCCGCAAGAGCTGAAAAAAGTGTTGTCCTTCAAATGTCTTTTACTGCATAGGGCTCTCGTTTGTGCACTTTGGGATTTTGGGTATCAATCCCCAACCTTGTTGGTTTATCGAGGTTCATGAACCGTCACTTTTTGACTGCCCGGTATAGCTCCGACGGCTCCGGGCCTGCGCCTCTGTCATGGCATCGAAACTCCCTTCCCAGACCTACAGCTCAGGGAGTCTGCAGGAAGGACAAGGTGTGCTGCAACAGCAGCAAGTGAAGATGGAACCAGAAACTTTGGAGATGGAGCAAGAACTGAAGGACTTCAAGTGTTGGAGTTGCCTATTGTATAGATCAATCCTGTTGTTTGTGGGGGGGCCCATCACTTAAAACATGAGCAGGTTGTCCTCATACGATTATGTATCACGTAACTATATGGCAAAGCATTTCACATGTCGAGTGGTCACCCTTCACTTTGTTGAAAACTTGTGTATAGGTTCTCATCCAAGAAGAGCTCAACCCCATTTACCACCCCCCCAAAGGAAATCATAGGAAATCTTCATGTACATATATATATATATATATACGGACCCCTGGCCCCATTGGCCAGGACTTGCAGGCCAAACGTGCAGCGATGGCTTTGGCGGTGAAGCCTGCGGATGCCGTTTCACCTCCCATGCATAAGGGTGAGAGCGACGTAACCCTGGCATACCCCACAGAAGTTCCTCAGACAACCCCGGGTAAGGCTTTGAAGAAAGCTCGGGTAGAAGCTCCTGAATCAGAAGAACCTGAACGAAGAGCCCTGAATTTTTCTGATGAGTCTCAAGAGGGTGGACCTTCAGGTGGGGGAACTGGTGGTACTTCTGAGGACCAAATCAATCTCTTGAGAACTTTGAACATGAAGTTGATTTCTGAGAAACGTGCTTTGGAACAGCAAGTGGCTGACTTGCAAAATCAGCTGTCTGACCTCTCCATTGATGCAGTGGCTACTGGGGAACGAGACGATGTGGGGCCCCCCACTAGCGATGAAGCTGCTCGCAAACGCCTTGCCCGGATTTGCAAGCGGAATGCCGGTGGGATGCATGGCCAATGGCTGGGTTCTTGGGGCTTGGGTGGTGACACTTTAGTCCATGAAGTGACCACAAATTTGGTCAAGTGTCCAATCTAAACAAATATACAGGGTAGATCAACGAGTGGAATTCTTGTACTCGATCCGTGTGCTCAACAAAGCGAGCTGTTCTTTTTCCAAGGATCCTGCAAGTGCCAGAAGAGATTCATGAAGAATGGAAGAAGGGGGGTGCCAGTCGTGCTCGTCTCCAAGAGTTGTTTGCCACCCATGGGTTCGACAAGGCTTGTCTGCCTTATACTTGTTGTTCGGCCATCGGTCAACTATTTACAGTCGATCGCTATTTAAACAATATTATCCCGAAGCTTTGCCAACCCCTCTTCTCACTGCTTTGCAGGCAGCTTTCATCCGAACTGTCACCATGGAGGTTGAGAACCGTCAGAGCGTCAAGGTGAAAGTGAAGGCGCAGTGGGCGACCGAAGATAAGATGCGGGATGTGTTGAAGCTGGCCCCGAAGCTTGCCATAAAAGAGATCTGAGGGCATGGACATTCGATAACCCAGTAGTGAAATCGTGTTGGTCCTGGGCCTCTTGTCTGTGTGGGTTGTTGAAGTTTCTTGACTCCAACTCTTGCCTATCATATCTGAGGGCAAGAATCAAAGCGATTCGAGAATACTGCGAGCAGCATGCAAACCATACAAAGCTCCTCGTTTGCAACATGTGGCAAAAAGCATATTATACATCATAGTTGGTTTGGCTCTTTATGTGATTCCAATGTGGGCGCCAATGCCCGTCTTGCTTGGCCAAGGTGGGATAAATATGAATCCAAGACTGCTTACTGGGTTGAGGAGGACCTGGAATGCGAGTTTGAGTCCAGTCGCTCCAAGTCAGTCAAGGAAACATCCCAGTATGAAACTGACCAGCCAGCTTCTGACACGTTGTTTGATGCTTCGATGCCGCCGACTATGGACATGGATGAAATCAAGAACATGCAAACAGGCCAGGTTTGGGTATGTGGAGAATCGGGCAACAAAACACCGAGCCCTCTATGATAAAATCCTTGACATGCTTTTGATATGTTTCCCCAAGCAGTTTACTGTTGGGGTTCTATCTTAGAAAGAAAAGAGCTGGCCACACTCACTGGCCGCGCCCCTGAACTCTGTGGCTGGGCCCTGTGGCTCTCTGTGGCTGGGCTCTGTGGCTGGGCCTTGTCCTCCTCTTGTCCTCCTCTTGGCCGCGCCCCTCAACTCTGTCAACTCTGTGGCTGGGCTTTGTGGCTGGGCTCTGTGGCTGGGCCTTGTCCTCCTCTTGTCCTCCTTTTGGCTGCGCCCCTGAACTCTGTCAACTCTGTGGCTGGGTCCTCCTCTTGTCCCGCTTGTCCTCCTCTTGTCCTCCTCTTGGCCGCGCCCCTGAACTCTGTCTCTGTGGCTGGGCTCTGTGGCTGGGCCTTGTCCTCCTCTTGTCCTCCTCTTGGCCGCGCCCCTGAACTCTGTCAACTCTGTGGCTGGGCTCTGTGTCCAGGCCTTGGCCTTGTCCTCCTCAACTCTGTGGTGGGCTCTGTGGCTGGGCTTTGTGTCCAGGCCTTGTCCTCCTCTTGGCCGCGCCCCTGAACTCTCTCAGTGGCTGGGCTCTGTGTCCAGGCCTTGTCCTCCTCTTGTCTTCCTCTTGCCCACGCCGGGCTCTGTGGCTGGGCCTTGCCCTCCTGGCTTACTGGGCTCTTGTCCTCCTCTTGTCCTCTGTGCTGGGCTCTGTGGCTGGGCCTTGTCATCTTCTTGTCCTCCTCTTGTCCTTGTCTTGGCGCCGCTCCTGAACTCTGTGGCTGGGCTCTGTGGCCCGGCTTACTGGAGAGGAGGAGTGTGGCCGAACAAATAGCGATGTCAATGCCGACAAACATTCATTGATGAAGCAGTTTGCTCTTGGGGTGAAGGTAGGGCGTACCAAGAAATCGATTTTTGACTAATATTGGTCTAAACGAATCGTTTTGAAGCTGTTTGGGGTCTATGCTTGTATAATTTATTTACAGGCAATATATACATGGTAAAGCCTTTCAATTTGCAAGCCGGCCATTTGGTCAGGCATGCCTGGCACTTCAGCTGGTGAGCAGCCGCAGCAGCGGCCGAACCAGTCGCAGCAAGTGTTGCCTCAGATCCAGAAGAACCAGAAACCTTCCACAGTGATCTTGAAGTATCTAGAGGGAATCACAAAGCGTGTATCAAAGATTGTGGATGCTTGATTACCACTTATAGGGTGCGTTTGTGTCTGTGTGCGGGTTTCTTCCCAGACCCTGTCAGCTGCAAACACTCCTTTCTAGTGACAGGGTGCATTGATCATCAGTTGCAGTCACACTAGTTGCAGTCACACTGCCCAGGAACTCAAGGCCAAGTACGAGACTATCCCGATTGGAGACCAAACAACGACCCAGAAGGCGTTACTTGGCAACCACATCACGTGGCCCCTTCTTTGGAGCCTTGTTTGCTCCTGCCCCTCAACTCCTGTGCATTGCTCACAGCCAGGTTCATCACCAAGCTCGGCAGTGTTGTGGACTTGTTGGAGAAGAAGCAGGGGGAAGTCAATGAGGTGTACGCTTCAGGAGCTGTTGAGGGTTACACTGACGAGTAACTTCCCAGCATCCAGAGTGCAGCATGTGAAGTTTACTGTCCATGTAACGACCCAACAAAAAAACAGATCAATATAGGACCAAAAAACTTATGAGGCCTTTCATTTGTGTGTCGATCAGGTCAACCTATCCTGGAATGTTGTAAACCAAACCGGTGTGAAATGCTTCCAAGGCAAGAGAAAACTCTGATGACGCATTTCAAGGATGCCATGAAACTGTCCGAGTCTGAGAAAAGTTCTGTCAACACACTTTGTCCGTATTTAGTGTGATCGAAACCTTGCCTACAATCAGTGTGTGACTGAGGGCGCAGGAATCCCTCTCATTGGAAGCACGAGCGAAGTCCATCCCGTTGCCAAAGGCTAAGGCCTCTGCTGCAAAAGCGGCACCGAAGGCCAAAGTCAAGGCGAAGGCAAAAGCTTCACCTGACGCAAAGCCTGCAGCTGCACCAAAGCGCGGCGCTCGCAAAGGGGACAACTGAGTCTTTTGGATTTTTGCCTCCCATGGGCCACCCATGGCGTCGATCACATACTACCCTTTTATACCCGAGGTTGGCAACAGTTGGTAGCACAACCCCCTACTCAACATCCTGGAATTCCCAATGCAAGTTTGGTGGGTCTCATGGACTCATGGGAATCCACAAATGTTTGATGGTTCTTTTCTTTAGGCTTCTATGCGGGGTGGCCCTGAATGGTTGAGCAAACATGGGCTTTAAATGGCCCATGAAGTTTTGATTTCAAGGGGATCGGCTAAGCACAGACCTTAGCACCTGGATTTTGCAGGTGTGGTCTGTCCAGTCGAGAGCGGCTTCGATCTGAAACAACAAAAGGAACGTCGTGGAATTTTCTTCAAGTTGTGAGGGTCATTGTCCTTGAAAAGGGATTGGCAATGCCAGGTCCAGAAAAGCCGGGCTGCATGCTGAAAAATCTCGCTCTTTCCATGGCTGACGGGGTTACTCATCTTAAAATTAAGAAAAGCCAAAGCTCAGCCTTTCCTGTTTTCAATATCGAGATATATACTTGCAACCACAGCATCTGTGTCAGTTCCTGTTGGCCGATACCCGAGGTTCCCGCTACTCGCCTTAAACGCTTTGCTCACAGTGCCATCGTTGAAGCTCGCGAAGCTGGCACCGGGGTTTCACCTGCACTGCAACGGGCTGGCCGGGTGACAGCTGAAAACATGCAGAATTGTGAGCGTGACCTTCATTCCTTGTTCTGGAAGTGTGGTCTAGCACTGCCAGTTCGCTTGAGCACTATGCGCTTTGGCCTCCTTTATGTACACTACATATCGCTCTCGACGTGGTTTCGGTGTTTGTTGGGGGATTACCCTCATCTCCTTCTTGGTGGCTTTAGTGATAGCTCCAAGGCTTCACTTTTGTTGGAGTCTTTCTGGGAAACCTATCGGGTGGCCCACAGTGATCATTTCGTTTTCTCACAGCATCCTGGCAACCTCAAGGCCTGTGTGCCTTACTACCTGCACTTGGACGAAGGAACCGGTTTACGCAAGTCAGCTGTATTGGTGTTCAATTTCCAGGCAGCATTTGGTCAGGAAACCGCTGCAAACTTTGAGAAACTGTTTGGGGAGGGAACAGGACGCTCTGACAGAGATGTCAAAGAGTACATGGTGGACGCGCAAACTCACAATCAACGCGGGTCATCCTTTCTGTCCAGGTTTCTGTTCACAGTCATCCCGAAAAAGTGGTACACCAAGAAATTTGACTTTGTGTGTGACAGAATTCTAGCCCAGCTGGCAGATGAAGCTGCGAGACTCGCCTGTGAAGGCATCAGAGGCATGTTTCCCATCTGCCTCGGACTGAAGGGCGACGCGCCAGCTTTGGCAAAGGCAGCTCACTACAACAGGTCGTTCATGAGCCTTGCATTGTTTTCAGCATCTCTTTTAAACGACATTTACACAAGGGTTCCATTTCGTGGATGCCATCCAGAATCAAAACCAATACCATGGATTGGTTTCCAAACTTGGTCCCTTCATGTCTGTCACTTCGCAATTGGTCACAGTGAGGAATGTTTCAGAAAAAGTTGGGAAGGGCATTTGTCCAGAATGCTTGGCAGGGTTGGATGACCTCCCTTACGAGGACCTTTCGAGAGACCCAGTCTGGCTACCGAGTGAAGCCTTGGAAGGTCTGACCAGAATCCATCACCGCTGTTGGCAATTCCTGGAGGCTTGAACCAGCAAGCCCTCTTTCGAAAAGACCCCTTTCACGTTTTCAAACAAACAGTTGGTGGACATTGGGTTGCTAGCGGGATTATCGTTCTGGTAGACATGGGATACTTTTGCATTGCTGGAGAATCAGCCCAAGCCGATGTGTTGCTGCAGAACGCATACCGGGATTTTGCTTGGTTTGTGAAACATGAGTGGCATGGTCAGTACGTGGCCAACATCAAGAGCTTTACAAAAGCAATTCTTCATTGGCACAAAATCAAGTCATACCCCTACGCCAGGCTGAAGGGAGCGGACACTATGCTTCTCACACGCTGGTTGGCCGTGTTGATACAACGGGGGCTTTATCGTGCAGAAAGCAACCAAAGGCAGGGTGTCAGTTTGATTGATCGTCCACTAGAAGATTGGCACGTGCCCCTTCTCAAGAGAATCCTTCGAGGTTCACTTGCTGGTGTGGATTTTTTCCGTATCTTACACTCTCGAGGCGTGTGGCTGGACCGTGAGAAGGATGCCAAACCCTTGGCTGAGCTTTGCTTTGACTTCGTGGAATGCTACCGGGACCTTGCAACCCTGTGCTTTGAACGAGGGTTGAGGAGATACATGCTGGAACCATCAATTCATTACTATCACCACTTCGCCGTTGATCTGAGCATTAGGATCCGACATGGTGACAAAAGAATTCTATCTCCCAACCAGGACAATTGTGAGATGGACGAGGACTTCGTTGGAGCCATCAGCCGTTTGACTAGAAACGTTCACGCCGCCACCACAACATTGAGAACGCTGGAGCGCTATAGAATCAAGGCGTTCTTTCAGTTCACCCATCAAGATTGGGGGGCACGAGAACGCCGTCCATCCAAGAAGAGGCTGAGGATCAGACCGTGAGCCGCACTCAAGAAAAGGGTTCGCAGCGGGGAGCGATTGGGCCAAAGATTGCACATCAAACCAAGTGAATACAACATGTTCGACATGTTCATGCAGTTGATCTTGGGTTGATGGAAAGGCCTTTTTTTCATGGAACGACCCCAAAAACAAACAAACGCATCAAAAGAATAGGTACTTTGTAAAAGGCCTAAAAACAGGAGGCAAAGGAGCCTCGAGGTAGTATAATATATAGTGGAATGGACTTGGAATCTTGACTTGGAATCTTGGAGACACTGAAAGACAACAAAGCATAAATTGAGTCTAGTGTGTCAACACTGGGTGTGGTGTTGGTTTCACAATATTTCACACGTACCTGCACCGTGTCGTGAAGCGTTCAGGTTCCGGCCCGGTCTGGCCCAATAAAAATCCCTCACAAGGTGGTTACAGGACCGTGAAAACCACTCCTTCGCATCCAACCAGAACCATCTTTGAAACCGACCAGCAGAGGTTGAAGAACTCTATCTGTGAGATGTTCCAGATGACCGGTCCCTTTTCAGGTTGAACCTCTGGGAGGTCGGCCGTTGGAGGTGCCATGACCCACAGCATCGGTTCAACGCTTGGGGGTTGACCGTTGGCTCTCCGTGACGTTCGTCTTGGCTCGGTCGACGATTGAGACGAAACATTGAAGGTGAGGTGAAGTGGGCAGATGTGTGGTGAAGCTACTAGGAGCAAGGACGCTACTAGGAACTAGACGTGTGGCGAAATGTTGGATAGAATAGGATATCGCATTTTGGCATCAAAAAGAGATGAGACATTGAGACATGAATGTTTGGTTGTGAAACATGGTTTCTTACATGATCTTTAGTTTTACATGTCGATGCATTTTTGCTAAACATGTAATGACAGCTTATTACTTTAAACATGAACGCATGTTTTGTTTCAATGAAGCTTGGCCCGTCTTGGAGCTGATGAAATGGGTTGAGACACCAAGCGGACAGTCTGACAATGTCTGACAGACACAACTGGAACGCTCCCGCAGCCGTCTGGGAGGGTGCTCCGGTGTGCCAGAGTGTGCACGGTGTGGGCAGATGGTGCTCGTTTGAGAAGGCCAACATCAGGTTCAAGTATAAATTCCCCAACAAAACATAAACAATGTCAAAAGTATACACGGGAACAGCACGAAAACAAGAGTAGCCACTGGGGTCGTTTCAGGTTGTTCTTTGGTTCATTGGTTTAGGATAGCAAGTTAAACCAACCGGTTTTCCCAATCATTGCCACTGCATGATTTCAGGAGCTCAGAGTTGGCCACAGAAAACATGTCTATATAAATATATGCACACGTATTCCATAGCATTATCTTGAAACACTTAGCAAGACGGATGGCTTCTTTTCTGGCTTGACACTTGACTTTCCACAGCGGACAGGTTCAGTTGTCCATGTCAGGGCTTTGCGGCATTTCACCCCCAAACTGGTGAAACGGTCGAGGAAGTCCATGATCTTTCGTCACTGGTATCCGTTGTCGCTGGATGGGTTCAGTGCAAGTGGTTCTGTCAAAGGCGAGCCTGAGAACAATGTTGGGTCCGGTGTTTCTGACACATGTCTTCAGTCTTAGAAGGTCACTTCTTGGTATCCTTCTCTGCAGGCACGTCAAGCTTGGTCACATTCGCATCGTGGGTGCATTGGTTGCAAACTTGGTTCTTCGGCCAGACACGCTCAAATGCGGGCCCTTTGTGCGCACAGATGCCGCTTTGCTCTTGCAGCAGAGCCTGCAAGTTGGTCAGGCAAGATTGTGAAACATAAACTGACAACATGTTTCATCATCCTATCCACTTGCACTCATGTTCTAGGATGTTCTACAAAGAAACTGCCAGCCGATCTGAGGGTTTTGGATCATAAGGATGTGTCATGAGGCTTGTGGGGGGATACAGGGTCCTTCCCTAGCTTTGAAACGGAGGTATAGATGTAGATTATATTGAGGTGGTGGTTTCAGACATATTTACACTCCCAAAAACTAACATAGACCCTGACTGGCTGGCCTCCTGGAAGATTGTTTTCCTCTATCAACCAGTGGTTTTCAGGGTCCAGATTAGTCTTCCAGGGTGTATGTGTTCAACCTATTCGGGAGGATTGATCTCCCTGACGCATTGAATCCACCATAAACCGATGCAGGTGTGCCACGGGAAGTTCCTACGTAGAACATGGGTCTCTGGGAGGACCATGAAATCCAAAGACCAAGCATGTGGTTTGAAAACTCACTCCACTTCCATGTGATGTGTTTCTCAGAGTGTAGATGAATTCCACAGAAGCTGCCCTCAAAGCGCTCGGCTTTTTAATAGGCAGAAAGGCTTTCAGGCCAGCAGTTCCATGGAGATGGGTGCTATCCATGGAAGAAGGATGATGGGGTGTCCCTGTCACATCCACGGCCCCTGTATGGGTATTTAAAAGAACAACTTTTTTTGTTGGAACTCCTATAGGGTATCGGTGTTGGCTGATTGGATCACTTCAATCTTGACCGAAATCTGCGGGTCGGAAACGCGCTCTCTTTTGCACAGAGATGCGCCAATAGATCTAAATGATCATCCTCTCGTTAGGGCCGCTCGAAGGGCCGCTCGAAGGCAGAACTTTATAGATCTGGATCCTCATCGATCCAGAAGACCTCTTGATCACGAGGCACCGTTGCTTGCTGTTGCTCAGGCACCAAGGGTGCAAACCATCCAGAGGTTCCGGATTGAGATGTTGAATGTTGCTGGATGAATTCTGTTTGTCCCTAGATGCGATAAATCCCTTGATACAACTCAAATTCAGCTGTTTTCAGGTCCAGAACCCTCCTCCTTATAAGCAGGAGACCTGAGGATCCAGGATGTCCAATCTTTGTAGCCTTCTTCGAAGTTGCAGAGACTCCTGGAACGCCCGTTTCCGAGGCGTGCCGGACGCTCCAGGTATTCTGGGCGTTGGCACGCTACGGCGGATCCGTCTTTTGAGCGGCGGAGCTTCACTTTGACGGATGTTTTTTTGTACAGGGTGGTGCCCCGATGCATCAACCAGGTCCGCGGGGAAGTTCTGGTGTTGAAGCTAAGCTCTTTCCGGGAGATGGAATGGATCAAGACTTGGTGGACAGATTGGAGATTGGTGGAAGAAAGGAGCAGAAGCATAAGCGACAAAGAGGCTATCACCAAAGATCCAGTTTTCTTTTGCACCTCCTTGTGTACAGTATGGACAGTATATGCATGTACACACGGTCCCTGACGGAATCATACATGAAGTGGAGTGAGTTCACCAGTTAGAAACAACAAGACCCCAGGATTGAACAAACCTGACTGAGGCATTGTTGATTTCACAATACCCAAGGTTCCGATTGGCGCCCGGCGACTGCCAGAACGCTTCCACCCACCACACCACCCCTTGAACCCTTGCCTCGATCCACCGGTGGGTTTTCGATCTGTGGGGTGGAAAACCTGAACTGAGCTGTAGTATGCTATAGTGATAACTGGATCCACTGGGTTGCCTTTATTCTGCTACTCAGACTTTGAGTGTCTTCCATCCTTAGACTGCGTGAGACTTGCTTGCGGATCGCATCGATCGCGTCGATCGCGTCGTTGCTACAAATGGCAACGTGATATAGCAAATTGGTTTCGATCGATCCATGCCCATGCCCGTCGAAAAACGCGAAGTCCGATGTCATCCGGAGTCCCATGTCCGATGTCGAGTTATATTTGCTATCCCTATATCCCGATAAGAACCGGTTTCACCTCCTTAGGTCCTTGGAATATATAGTTTCATTGTTGCATTTTGTTGTTTAACATTGTTTACAATGTTTGTTTGTTCATGTTGTTCGGCTCCTTGACAGCACCAAGTATATGGGTGTGACCAGTCGGAGACACCGCTCACGCACATTGTATAGCAGCCATACCATGCTATACCTGGATCCCCTGGGGCTTTTTCTTCAAAGAAGTCCATGCTTGTCCCTGTTGTCCGAGATCTCGCCCCGAGTCGCATCGATTTCTGTTTAGCATCGGATCGGTTTCAACAACTTGTCCCGCCCGTGGCTTGACATCCCGAATCACCAAAACATTGGGGCTATTCTTAGACCCTATAGGGATCCAGTCGTACCTTCTCAGAAGGCACCTGGACCCTCCTGGCACCCACCCCAGTCCCACCTTCTGAGAAGGCACGACTGGATCCTTAGGGCTTAGACACCGGCCCAAAAAGCCCTGGTAGTACGGTCAGTTTCTTCTTTCTCTGACATGGGCGATTTTGCGATGTGGCGCGAAGTGGCAGTGGGTGAACCGAGGCGGCAGTATCCAAAAAAATTGCCCTCTCCATAACAATGACACAACCACGGGAGAAGCAACGAACGTTTGCAAGATCTGTAGGTCCGGTCCAGTCGGAAGTGAACCCAAACAACGATGATGCACCTTTCCCATGAAGTTCGCAACGCAGAACATGGATACAGTCGTACCCGTTTTTTCAAGAGGGTCATACCGCATGAGTCACGTGTCACACATGTTCCATGTTCTACGAACAGTCCGTCGGGTCCAGATACCCATAGGTCTGTAAAGCAGCTGGATTGCAGCAACCCTTAATGGACGACTGACCGTCATGGCTGGTCAGGCGCACCGCCCATGGGTGTTATGCAGCTGTGGTGGGATTACCCTAAGAATCCTTGACCATGGCAGGGGTCGGACCCGACACCGAAACGCAGGGGTCCGGGCCCTCAAACCCTATGTGTTTGAGGGTCCGGATTCTTAGGGTATTTGATTTCTTTGCTTGGTTGGTGATGGGTCACACGGCTGATGCTCGACGCTCCGCCGTTGGAGGCGTCCGAGGTGTCCGAGCTCTACTCGCGATCTGGACACACTCCAAGTGTGAGCTCGAGGTGCCCCAGCGAAAGATGGAGCGATCCTAAGCCTTAAACCATGATGAATGAAAGGGAGCATCTGCCGGAATTCCATCATTTTGAGGTGTCTTTACATGTGAAACCATGGGTTTGCTATACATATATATTATATACCAGCACCCTC